TGAGCCCAGCGTCCTCCTACGCCGCCATCTTCCCTCTCTCTCATAATTTATTTTGAAGCATTGATTTGCAGTGCTTTTCTCAAAGAATCAGCAATCTAAAGTCATAATTCTACATTAGAGATAACTGATATATTGGAAGGAAAAAAAAACTATAAATTTCATTTATAATAGGTTTTATCATTTGCTGACCCTCCTGCACAAAATTCCATTTTTTTCCATTATAATATCTAAACTGTAAACCCCCAAATAGTTTATTTACCCAGGTTTCATCTGAATATGTTAATATGCTTCTCAGGGAACCCGTAAACTTATTTTTCAGGGAGAAAAACATCAGTGGGATGAGCTTTTTGTTCATTTTGAAATATGTTCAAATATGTTGGAAATTAAAATGCTAACTTGTATTTATGAATAAGCTTCAGCACCTCTTATAAGACAGCTCTGAATATAGTTAGATGATTCTAATCACATTCAAGTTTACTGGATATATATCAAAACTGCCACCTAGCAGATAACTGAGGGTCCAAGCCTACTGAGTGTTTCAAAAATTGTGAAATGATCCCAAATTATAATTTTGTGTTATCTGTCAGTGACGAAAGGGAGGAATGTTTTTACTCTGATAAATTCATACCAGAATTATGTTCCTACAAGAGAGTGTAATAGAATTCACATTCCATTAATATTTTCTTGAAATTGTGATCTCTATGAATCTTATGTGCTTGGCATATAATATAGGTGCTCAAAAAAGTGTTGGTGGGCAAATGACTGAACAGAAGGAGGGAAGAAGGAAAATTATACTTAAGTATATTAAGAGGTTGAGAGAGAGTACTGAGAGTAAGAATGCTATGCCCAAGGGAAACAATAACACTAACATGCTAAACTATGAAGCTGAGAGTATTAGAGTTTCAAATCTGCAACTTTTCAAAAGAGTGAATGTGACTAAATCATTATCTTTTAACTGAGATGAGTGACTATACATACTAAATCTATGGTTAGGACATCATCGTAGAAAGCATTGTAATATGCAATATAAAAGATTGTTGAGGGACTTAAATGAAATAAAATAAAATAATGTATGTGTATAATTTATTTATAGCTACAAAAGCCTATATAAATTACTGGTATTGTTATAAGAACATCGCTACAACTACTTCTCAGAGAACAAACCTGGTTTCTAAGAATGTAGTTAATCTTTCTTAAATCACATACAGGGTGTGATCCCATTGTCCCCAGGATTTGTAATTGTTCAAAACTTCTGACATAGCAATATTGAAAAGCTTACTTTAAGTTGTAGTTTATATCCAAAAATAACATTTATTATAAGTAAGTCATTATTTAATCTATCATGGAGGGAAAAACCCTACCAAGTAATCTTTGATACAGTATCTACTGTAAAGTACATTCTGATTTTAGAGATGTAAAATGCGAAAAAAAAGTTTTTCTTAGAAATCTGTGAAAGTAAGGCATTAAACATTTTCTCTCTGAGAGGTGTTCTTTTCTTTTCTTTTTTTAATGTTTATTTATTTTGAGAGAGAAAGAGTATGCTCATGAGCGGGGGCAGGGGAGAGAGAGAAGGAGACAGAGAATTCCAAACGGCCTCTGCCCTGCCAGTATAGAGCCTGACATGAGGCTCGATCTCACAAACCCTGTGATAATGACGTGACCCAAAATCAAGAGTCGGACTCTTAACTGACTGAACCACCCAGGTGCCCCTGAGAGGCTTTCTTTATGGTCAAGTGCAGGAACCAGTTGACGTGTATGTCTATTGTAAACACAAATGAAATATTTACTGAAGAGATGATATCTTGAAATTTAACCAGAGTAACCATTCTATATTCATCATAGAATGTTCTGTGAGAAAGAAATATTCAGAAATATTTTTAAAGCAGATGTTCCCATGAACTAAATGTGAAAGAAAATATACTTCAAAATTGGTAGAACATTACACTAATGATTCTGCCTTCTTGTCTTCAGAAAACAGGCCCAGTCACCATTATATTAGCTCAGTCTTCTCCATGAAGCTTTTCCTGATCTTTCCATCAGAACTGTTCTCATCTTCTTTTGATGAGAATCTGTGACAAATACCTGTAACAGGGTATTTCCCTCTTTGGATAAAATCTGCCTGGTGGCTTACTTATTGGAATACTTCATGAAACAATCTTTTTCTCTTTTCCATGTAAACATTGAGGATGGAGGAATTGCTAATATTCCAGATGTTACTTGAATGGATGTTTCTAGGAACTAGAGCAAAACCTTATGTACAAAACCCCAGAACTCAATAGATAAAGAATCTTCCATAGACCTAGAATAGGAAAATATACAAAAAAGACCAGGAAATGCTTATTTTTTTTCTGATTTCAGCCAAAATACCTGAGATAATGAATTAAGTATGTCACTTCCCAAGCCTGTGTTGGTAAAACACTAGCTTTAGAAGATGGAAAGAGATGTTTAGTGGGAAAACAAGGCAAAAGGTTGTCAAATAAATTTAAATTTGGAAAACCGTATTTGGTGGGCACAGAGGAAAGAGGAAGGAATTTTAAAGTCAGACGAATTGCTTATAAATCTATCCCTTATTGTCCTCTTAGAAGTCTCCTCTCTTAAAAGGGGACAATGATGACTGTCTGATGGGTTTGTTGTGATTAAATGAGATGATGCACAGAGCATATGCCTGCCCTAAAGTGTCAGGAATACTGGGAACTGCCAGTGGCTTCACCCCAGCTTTGTCATTCCTTTTGAATATTCAACGCATAAACTTCTTTGACTCTTAGAACATATAAACAATCATGACTGATCCCCAGAAGGGCAGGTTACAGTTTGTTTTTTGGATGTCTAGCAGTTCTGCGAAAGTGGCTGAAGGGCCACCATGTGAAGGCATGGGGATCTAGAGTTCTGACTCTTGGCGAGCTTTCCTTTTATCTGTTTTCCTATCTATACACTGAGGACTCCAGTCAAGACCTGCCCTAAAGTCTACACTCATATACTCTTCAACAACTCCACTTTGATGTCTAGCAGGTACCTGAATTTAACATGTCTAAAACCAAAATCGTGATTCTTCAAACCAGCCCAACTTACCTTCCCCCACTTCCCTATCTTACTGAATGGCAACATTATTCTTCCACATGTTCGGGCCCCAGATTCTTGAGTTGCACTCAACTTCCTTCTCTCACATCTTGCATTCAACTCATTAGTAAGCTCTTTGGGATTTCCCTTCAAAATATATCCCAATCCCTTGAATTACCATCAACTCTACAGTTTACATTCCAGTCCAAGGACTGTTGCAGTGACATCCTAATTGGGATTCCTGCTTCCATTTTACCTCCTTAAGTCTATTTAACTCACAGCACCCAGCATGTTCCTTTAAAAAATAAGCCAGATCTTGAAGCTCCTCTGCTCAAAATCTGTGTTGGCCTCACATATCCCTTAGAGAAAACCCAGAGGCTTTGCTGTAGCATAAAGGTCTATCTAATCTTAGATTCTGTTCCCACTCTGACCTTTTCTTCCACTTACCAGCTCAATTCTAGTCACCCTAGCCTTCTTGTGGATGCCTAAGTGCTCCAAGTTTGTGCCTGCCACAGTAACTTTCAATAACTAGTTCCTCTACCTGGAACTTCTTCTCCCAAAAGCTGTATGTGTTGCACCTCACTTCTTTCTGCTTTCTGCTCAAATGTCTGACACAGGAAGGACCTCTCTGTTCATTAAAATGGCTTTCCCATATGCCTAGCTAACTTTATCTGCTTGTTTTCTAAATCTTACCACCTCCTACCATAGTATGTATTTATTAATAAATTGTTTTATTGCCTGTACATATCCTAAAATTTAAAAAAGATGAGAGCTGGGCATGTCTGCTTTGTTCAAGGTTATATCTCTATAGTGTCTACAATATGCCAGGAACATAAAAGGTACTCAGTAAGTATTTGTTAAGTGAACAAATGAATGAAAAATGAATCAAGATTCTGCTTAAGATGATTCCAAAGAAATAAAAATAAAAATGTTCTGCTGCCTAAGAAAGATTTTTCAAAATTCATGAAAACCTCTTATTCATCCTTAGGTTGATGATACCCTTTTGAATTGAAAATATATTTAGGAAGTACAATATACTTAGCTAGAATTTTTAAATTAATTTTAGCAGACAGAATATACAATAATAATACCCATTTTTAATATGTGCAAGACAGAAAACAGAATGAATGTTCTTTGTATCCAATGTCTTTCTAATGTTTTTAATCAGTTTTGTAAATCATTAACAGCATACAGCAAGGATTTAATGAATGTTAGCTATTACTGTGTATACATAATTTCCTTCTCTATGCATGTGTTTTGTTTTTTGTTGTTTTTGTTTATTATCCTTTTTAGATATTGGAGATATAGTGAAGAAATGAAGACCATGGATCCTGGCTATCCCAAACCAATCACCGTCTGGAAAGGTATCCCTGAATCTCCTCAGGGAGCCTTTGTGCACAAAGAAAATGGTATGCAGCATATGCATTATATATTTCACGAGTTTACGAAATATTTTAATAATGCATTCTAATTTTTCATTATGAGAGATTAAATCATTAGAAAATACCATACTAGGGCCATAATATATTTATGTGAACTTTCCTTCGTAAATTTATGCTTAATATTATGCTTCAGATGTTTTTTTTTTTTTTTTTTTACCTCAGCTTATTTTAGTTTATAAGAAAAAAATGAAGGTAGTGTTTTAAAATGAAGGGTGTGGATACCTTCGAAGTAACCTCGCCTATTTTTCTATTAAAATTACTAGAAAGTTAAGAGCAGACATATATAGGACAGGAGCTGGTCACAAGGAAGGTATGTTTTAAGTGTGGCCTGAGACACAAAGACATCCAGCAATTGTGCATGCTGAAGATGTTAATTTTTAATGCGCACTTTTGGCTTAGGGTGTCAGCAAACAGGGAAGATCCCAACTCAATACAGTCAGGCTAAGTGGCTGAATGATTGCTCAATAACAAGAAGCAGATCAGAGACCTGCCTGTGTTCCTTGCTCTCCATCTCAAGATTTGAGTTTCAGCCAGGTCCAAAGTAGAAAGTTAGCCAAGCGACGGAAAATCCATACACTCCTATCTGTTAGTATATGTAAAATCTGAACATTTCTCTCCTCATTCAGAGATTAGTAAATAGGAATAAACCATAATAATAATTAAATATTCCAGAAGAATACACAGTATTCCAGAACAAAGGAAAGAGAAATAATTCTGAAATACATAGAAAAAGCACACCGTAAGAAAATGATATACCATTTGGGTCCTCAATAGCATGAAAGCCTGTAACATATACGCAACAAGAACAAAATAAATATCACTTGCAGGAACAAAATTAAATGTGTCGGATGAGGAAAGAACAAAAAAAGTTTACTGAAGAAATAGGAGGAAAATGAAAATCAACACCACCACTGAAAACTATAATTAATCATCATCATATTGCCAGAGTTGAAGACAACTATACACTGAGTGTAACCCTGAAGGAACTGAGACCTGGAATGAATAAATACCAATGAGAAAAGTCTAAGTACATAAACTGTATTATGACCCTTGTTATATGAAGTGATATATTACATGCTCTATGAGAGTACCCCACAAGTAATATAGTGTAGGCAGAGACAAAGTCAGAAAGAACCTAGAAGCTCTGATCATATAACTTGTTGAGAATTACAGCGGTTTTTTGTATATTCTATTGGTTGATAGAATGAAAAGACCAAGTTAAGATAAAGCCAGTATGTGATAAAAGCAGAAATGCACAGGAAAGGGCAGATAGAAATGAAAACATATCTTTCAAAAGGTTATCAATAAAAAAATGAGGGAAGTAACGTGCAGCCACATTGGAGGCTGTAAAATCAGATCAAAATAAGTTCAAAACCTCGAACTATACAGATGGATTTGAAAAGGACAAAGGAATGAAAGAAATAGGTGAAAAATGATCACATGGAGGCCAAAAATTGAGATTACCCCTACCAATTATAGGTATCACCGAGGAAGAAGCTAGAGGAGAGGAGATTTCTTGAGGTTAAATTAAAGGGGTTTTATTAAAGCCCAGATAAAACCAACTCTAGGTAATATTTACAGAAGCCTTACCACTGCTCTAGACTGTCTTCAGTAAAGATTATCGCATAGTATACAAAAATATTGCAAAGAAAATTCAACCGAGATCTCACTGGTTATTACCTCTAGAAAGTTTGATAATAGTTTCTCGTTCCTTATCTTTGTTTTATTAACTTTCTAAACTGAGTCTACCTTTTATAATAAAAATAACTTTTAAAGTAAGTAGTAAATTGTTTCACAAGATTGAAAAAGTACACATAATCTTTTTTTTTAAGTTTATTTATTTTGAGACAGAAAGAGAGTGCAAGTGTGGGAAGGGCAGAGAGAGAGGGGGAGAGAGAGAATCCCAAGCAGGCTCCGCACTATCACTGCAGAGCCCAACATGGGGCTCAAACTTATGAACCATGAGATCATGACCTGAGTTGAAGTCAAACGCTTAACTGACTGAGCCACCCAAGCACCCCTGAAAAAGTACACATTGTCTGAATTCCTTACCACATTAACTTTTCATTTTCCCTGCTTCTATTTACAAGGCCTCTAATATCTGAGATCTGATCAGAGTCTCTGGGGATAAATCATAATTATATTAAAAAAATCTTCTTGATGCCCCCTGTCCCATGGTTTTTCATATTCTTTTCCATCTGAATATTTAATCATATTCATTCTGTATAAATCAGTGAAATTGTGCTGAAGAGTATATTCTGAACTGAATTAACTCTTTCATAAATAGTTTCTGAACAAGTATGAAGCAACACATCAAAATTGTTTAAGTTAGAATACATAATTATATTCTTTTGGTTATATTAATACAATTAACAAAATACTATCAGTTTTCACCCCTGCCAAAATTCCTACTCAATTTTATGTGTCCTACAAAACAGGACTGAGACTACCAAGATAATATTCCTATGAGCATTTTCCCCACTCTCTACCCACCTCAAAGGTCAATTTCAGAAGGGGGAAAAAACAAGTTTTCTTCTATTCAGAATTTCGAGGCTTCTCTTTACATAGTAAAAAATAATTTTGTAAAATACTGACAAAGAACATGTTGGGAAAAATCAACGCTTACAAATGACTAAAACCTACAGATGAAACTGCAATATATCTATGTTTTCTGGACCCCTCCTATCCAGTCCCCTCTTTGATTTGACTTCAACATTGCATCACTCTTCATCTTTCAGGCTCTCCTCCTTGAATGTCCTTTTTTGCTTACCCTATCCCTTGCACTCAAAATCGCATAATAATCAGCTTATAGGCTCATTATCCGCTCTGATGTAAACTCTTTGAAGACAGTCACATAGTAAACATTCAATAAATATTAGTTGTATAAATTAATTTTATGCCTCCCATTACTCTAAAAATTCACTGCCTGGAGGAGATATCTCATTTATCTGAAACACTTGTTCTGTACAATAGCAATACCAAACGATCTGGAAGGCCTTGGTCTGTCAACAGCAAAGTCTCCTCTTTTCATTATCTACAGATGTCATGCTTGTAGCTTCTTACCTTAAATTCACAGTTTACACAGTTTCTTCCCTTGGATTTGTGTATGAAAGATGAAAAGTTCAAATTATTAAGTAAACAAATTTGTATTTGTAGTTTGACTCAAAGTAATTCCCCATAAGTCTATGCGCATGGTATTTGATAGTCATAAAGTTAAAGATGATAGAACACTGAATGTTTTCTCTGGTTTATCCTTCTGTCAATGTAGGAATTTGTTCCTTGGAATCGTCTCCTAGTGGTAATCTTTTAAAAAAAAAAAGTCTACAGATTCAGCAATTCAGCTATAGGTTTTTGAAGAGTGCGTTTTATATTATATGCCTCCCTATATACCTACTGGTATTAATTTTGCCATTTTTATCAATGAAATATGAATACTTGGTGCTATTTATTGAATGCCTATCATGTATCAGTTGTGCTACATAAATTCATTATCTAATTTAATTGTCCAACATAAATAACTTTATGTAATTATTACTTATTAATGAGGAAACTGGCATCAGCTAGTTTAAGTAACTTATTCATGATCATAAGAAAGGTAAGATTATATATTTGAGGTTTGAAACTAGAACATTCTAGCCCCACTGAATGTGCTATAATATACTATCTCCAAAGAGGAAAATTTAACACCATTCTCTACATTATATCATTAAGGTAACTGATTATCTGTCAAGTCTGGCTTAATTTTTCATCATGTCACGCTAGACAAATTTAGGCTTTCTCAGAATGTAGCTTCCTGAGCCATCATCCTCCTGGTTTTTGCCTGTAACCATCTAAACAGTTTTCTCATTGTCCTGTCTACTTTTAGTTTCTGAAAACACAGCAATATAAATGAGATTTGAGTCATAAAGAATATAGTGGAATGATTTCTTCTTAGCATTTCTTATTTGACCATGTTTTAAGCAAGAACAAGTTTTTAACACATACTAAAATTTTAGTGAAGAATCACTGAATTGCCTCTCCCTCAAATTGTTTCTATGTTAATTGCCATCAAGGCATACCACCTAGATATTCTATATTTTCTCCTTAGAAAGTGCACTTCTGAGGTAAATACAAGATTCTACTTTTAAACTGTTGCATTTCATTTTGCTGATTGCAGCCCTACTTTAGCCTGATTCTTGATTCTGTTGATTTGCTATAGTCCCTACTCTCCATTCTCACCCTGGGTTAAAATATACAAGTGAAATTCAAACACATATTTCCACAAGACTCAGTTTATTCATTCACATTTATTAAACATTAATTAACTTCTTACTAATAAATATATCAGAGTGGAAAACAGAGAACACATAGGCACTGTCATCCAGGAACATCTACTAAGTTAAAACAAGACAATTAGGGTGGACAATGTCTCATTACATTTTAGTATTAAGCAATAGAAAAGTCACCAGTAAAATCCAGTCAAATATGAGAGAAGAAAAAGCTGTCACATAATACATTACAGCCCCACTGAATTATTTCTCAGAATTTCTCAAAAAATGGTAATTAGGGTAAGAATTCATCTCAGGTTGCTATTCTTATTAGCATAACATCTACGACAGTGTAACATCAAAGCTACTCTCAAAAAGGAAGAAAAATGAGTGCATCAACATTTCTTCAACCAGGTGCTATTTCATAAGTGGGGAAACAAAACCAGACCTACATTATTGAGTGAGATGAATATTGTGGGATCAAGGTTTGACAGATTTCTATTACCATGATTTCAGGCCATTTCTTTTCAAGTATTTTTATTATTTAAATTCTATGGACTAGATATGTTACCTCATAACAAATATATTCAGTAAACTACAATCCTACTCCTTTATGTGGAGTGTGCTACTATAAAATTTGGCCTGTATAAATGTAAAAATGGAAACTTCTGAACTTTTGCATCGTATCCAGTAGGTTCACAGTAATTAGCTTTGACTAAAAATTAAAGATGAGGACACTTCCAGCTGTTGGTTTCCAGTTTATAAATATAAGAAGTAAATTCACCTGTTTTGAAGGTCTGTTTAATTCTAAATCAATGCCATTATTCAACAGTGATTGTCTAATGTACTATTATCTGGCAAGTCTTCAACGTTTCTTCATCCAAGCTTGTTGAGTAATTACATTGGATTTCATTAGTGTGATCAAATACCAGCTCCCTGCTGAAATATTTGAATCTACATACACCTGCTTTCACTTGGCAAGTTACTCTGATTGCAAAACTGCCCTTCGAAACTAAAAGCACCAGCAGATTTTTATGGCATTGGACAGAATGATTTCCAAAATGAAGTGACCTGAAGTGCTGGTCTCTCCGAGATGAAATTTATGGAAAGGTGTCAGAGTTTTTTGTTGCATGGGTGTTACCTCTCACACCTGTGATGTTTAATCAAGAAGCATTTGTTAAAAGAGATCTCTAAAGGACACAGTTTTAGAAAAACCATTAAGTATTCAGGCTCCAGAACTAGATCAAGATTTAAATTCTGCTTTCACCAGGACTTGGACATATTATTTTATCTCTGAGCCTCGGTATCTTTGCCTGAAAAGTATAGGTGCATAATTCCACCTGACAGAATGGTTATGAGTATTAAAATATGTCATTTACTGAGTTTTAAACACAGTACTTCTTACGTAATAAGTGCTCAATAATACAGGTTAAAGAAAACCATCATAAATGATTATTAGGCCTACTATTCAAAACAGCTCCCAAAATAAAGTTTTTAATTATAGCATTAAAACATTTCTTCTTGGCTTCGTGAATTTTATCTCAAAGTAAGAATTAAGTCCAATGAGTGTGAGTGTAGTCACAAAGAAACTTGAGATGAAGAAGCTCTGGATGAAAAGAGCTTTTTTTTTCCCCAATAAAAACAACAAAAATTGAGAGAACAGCCCTAAATACACACACACACACACACACACACACACACACACACACACACACACCCCAGCTTTCAAAGTCTATTATCTGCATCCATAATGTTTTGGAACAGAAAGCATATGTACTGCTAGTTATATGAGCTTTCCACAGACCACCTCCTCCCCCATGAAATATGTTAGTTGGAAATATTAAAGATAGAATTGTAGATTGATAGATACTCTACTTTATTAATCCTTCACTACATAAGTAAATAAGAATGTTAAACGAAAAGGACAAAAGGAGAAGGAAGAAAATGGGCATGATGTAGAACCAGAAATAAAGTTAGTGCAGGAATACTCTAAATACTTATTTACTTGCTGAGATTCCCAACAGGCAAAGGAAAACATCCCTATAGTGTTATGACTTACGAATCGTGATGATTTCTCGTCCAAATGACAAAAGCAAACCTATTGTTTAGGTACAACTGCTCCTGATACTAAGATGACTAGAAATTTCCCCTGAGGTGTTTCAGGGAGAGGCCTCCTCATCATGTATTGTACAATGTCCTGTCGACAGCGGTCAGCGGGCAAACAGTTCTTCAGTTTATAAGGCTGTTTCAGCATCTTTTAACATAGGTTGATATTATCACCCTGATGTGTAATTCTGAAACAGCAACCTTATAAGTGAAAAATAAGGTCAAGTTCTCTTTCCAGACTAGGAGTAGATGTGTACAGCATGATCTTTCAACATTCTGCTGTAGATACTTTGGCTCTTGGCTAAGCTTTCCATAGGCATTAGAGGGCACAATTCCTACAGCATATCGGCCAGATTCATTTCAACAGGTGGCTGAGCTGAAGATGTGTTCTTCCTACAAAAACTGAGGGGCCTTCACATACATCATTTACAAAGTAGCCTAATTAAAATGTAAATCTAACTGAACTAAAATTTCTATCCATATACACTTTCAAAATAAGTGGTACCCATCTGTGTGTGTTTCCCCCTCTAGGCTTTACGTATTTCTACAAAGGGAAGGAGTACTGGAAATTCAACAACCAGATACTCAAAGTAGAACCTGGATATCCCAGATCCATCCTCAAGGATTTTATGGGCTGTGATGGACCAACAGACAGAGATAAAGAAGGACACAGCCCACCAGACGATGTAGACATTGTCATCAAACTGGACAACACAGCCAGCACTGTGAAAGCCATAGCTATTGTCATTCCCTGCATCTTGGCCTTATGTCTCCTTGTATTGGTTTACACTGTGTTCCAGTTCAAGAGGAAAGGAACACCCCGCCACATACTGTACTGTAAACGCTCTATGCAAGAGTGGGTGTGATGTAGGGTTTTTTTTTTTCTTTCTTTCTTTTCCAGGAGTTTGTGGTAACTTGAGATTCAAGACAAGAGCTGTTATGCTGTTTCCTAGCTAGGAGCAGGCTTGTGGCAGCCTGATTCAGGGCTGACCTTTCAAACCCAGAGGGTTGCTGGTCCTGCACATGAGTGGAAATACACTCATGGGGAAGCTTCCATGATGCACAGTATCTGCCGTTCTTCAGTCCTTTGTCTTTCTTTGTCATTCAGTTCTAGGCCTTTCCTCTGCACGCTCAATGCCCAGTAAATTTTCAGGATTAACTAAAGAAGAGGAAAAAAAGAAGAAAAGATTCTTCTTAAAGGTTTCTAATATTATTTTCCTTCTGAAGTCTGAGCCCATATCTGGGGGAAAAAAAAAAGCAAAATGGAAAACCCATGAATTTTGCTTTAAAGCAAAGAAAAAAAAAAGTTAAACAAAAAACCCACAATTGAACTTTCAGGAAAGTGTGAAGACCCAAAACAGCTTTGTCTCCAAAGAAGATAGCTCTCTGACTGCTATGGATAGTCTCCTACACTTCATTTTTGTCAGGTGGGAGATCTGGAATATACATGCAGGACTTTAGACTGTTGGGACAGCCATTTTCCAACAAACAAGGGGCCAAAATATCTGCAATATAGTAACAGCCTTAATAATAATACATCCATTTTTCGTTTTATACAGCTGTTCTCAGCTATGTCCTCAATGTTTCATCACATTTATACTCATAGCTATATTCAAACAGGACCTTTTGATTGTTTTTGAAGTGTTTCTAATCCCCTTCCTGCCACCTGACCCCTGCATCATTGTGATAATCTCCCCAAGTTGTATTAGGCCATTGCCCCAGGCCTTCCATGGGTCTGTCAGAAATATTCATTATAAGCAGAGCAAGAAGCAGTATGTCTCCAAAGTGGTTTAAAGTGACAGTTATTTTACAAGGATATGTGACACTAGTAATACATTGGTGTAACCCTTTGAGAACTATCAGATCAGCTTTCAGAGTCTTAGGCTTGTCAGTCTTGCTGTCTGGTAACTTACAGAACTGGGCAATGGTAAACACAGGCACAGGTTCAAGAAGTTCAGGTTTTTAAAAAAGATATCCTATAACCCCATGTAATTTTTAAGAGATTTACGGTACTACATAAATGCATTTATAGCAAACAGAAATGATGTTACTTGCCAAAAAATTTTCTGGCAAATAAAAAGATATTTTATTAAGAAAATATAAGAGTGAAATTTTATTCGAAGAAGTGATTATGATAGCCTAAGTCTTTTTTTTATTTTTCTTAGACATATTGAATTTCTGTTTTAAGGTCCATTGCATGAAAATTCAATTTGCCTTGGTACATGCAGTTAGCATTGCCATTTTACAAATGATTTAAAATGATGACTCTGAGATTGCATGAATATCTCTAGTACATTACCTATTGCATGTCAACCATAGTTCTCAAAGGGTTAGTGTGGCTTCTGGCATTTAGCCATCCATTTGATCACTGACAGAGCCAAGAGACCACCAAAGCATTTCATTGTTGAGTGTAATTTGTCCTAACAGCAGTATTGTCATTTTCATGTGACCTGCAGAGCAGGTTTGTATCAATATTTTTTTCCTAGAGAAAAGTCAGCAACTGACAGACCTCTTTATTGATTTTTAGGAGCTGCTTCTTGCAGTGAAAGGCTTTACAGCCACTGGGCTGTGAACTTATTAGAGATGGTCAGAACGAACGCACCCCATGAGTCAGACATTGGCTTTGTGTGAAAGCCAGCTTTTGAGGGGATTAGCTTTTGAAACAATGAACAGCTTGCCTTGAACTTGATTATTGATCTGTTGACTGTCATTAACAACAACTTAAACATTGTCTTCTGTGAAAATTTTCCTTGAAGAGTCCTGTCTATGTCTTTGCCCTTTGACCTTTAACTTGCAAACTGGCACAAACTGAAGGAAATCTGGTATTGCTTCTCCTTTGGAGTGTTAATTGTACTCTAAAACCCTAGTAAGCATGAGCTGTTTCCTTAGAGTAGAGAGAGAGAAAGAGAGAGAGAGAGAGAGAAAGAGTGTCGATGGTGGTTCTGCAGATGGACACTTTGCAATTTACATGCACACTCGAAAAATGCCCTGTAGGTAGAAGTGACGTTTAATTTTCCTTTAATATAATTTCAAGTCTAAATTCATCATTTTAAGTACAAATATAAAACTATAGGGGATAAACAACAACAACAAAAAACTCTCAAAATACTTGAATGGCCAGTGTGGCTTTTATATAAAGCAAGAATTTTATACTAGTGAAAATTTCTTACTCATTTGCTAATAATACATATTTCCAGATGATTTTTAATGAGTGTAGGTACACACGTTCTTATTTGGAAATGGATAGTTTGGCTGCCTTGAATTTCTATTTATACTCAACATAGCATGAAAATTAGAATGTCTTTCGGTTAAACAACATGTTTATGATTTGGTTTGGGAAAATATTTTGTAATTCCGGGTGGCATGTTACAGAGCCTTGCAGGTTATTTCTTACAACCTGAACACATATAACGTAAGGCTAAGAAAAAAGAACAGTTAAAAAAGAGGAATGGCTTTACAGTAAAACAGTATGTAATGCAAACTGTATTTTGACAGGATATCGGAGATTATGTACATGAGGGCCAAGAAAGCATGGGGAGAGGACCAAAATCAGGCCTGTAGCTTCACTTCAGTGCTTCCATTCCAGATGATGCTGATATTATAAAGAGTTAGTCACTTATATTGAACATAGAGGACTATCTACATAAGCTCATTGATATAGTGTTTGCTTATGAGAGGGTTTAATCCTTTTAGGACCTTGATGTCAAGAAAAAAGATGACTGGAAATTGTATTTTGCTAAACGTAGAAATGAGGACTAAGTCATTTGGGGACGTGAGTAAATCATTGAGGAATTCCATCAACCTGCATTGAACATTGATTTTTTTTTTTTTCTAAAATGAGAAAGAAACTGAAGAAACAATCTTTTGCCTCTTTACTCATTTGTCACAGTATCCTGATCCATCAGAAGACTATAAGTATATAAGGGCTAGAAAATAACCATAGCATTAAGAAAGGAAGGACTCTGACATTATGCTTGAATTCTAGGAATGTCATGGCTAAGTGCTGGGTCATATTTACTTCAATGTGAGATGAGATTTGTGTGATAAGAAAAAAAAAACATATACAGCTTCTCTCTTTACTAGAACAGTTACAATTTCAGGTGTGAGACTACAAGAAATGAGAAAATATTAAGCTCAATATAACCACAAACCTCACGATTCTATTTGTTTATCGTACACAGGGCACTTTGTGGGAATGGTTGCTGACTCTTCTTCCATTTGGGGTTTGGAAAAAAATCTCGATCTTCTTGGATCTTCTTGGAATAGTGAAAGGGAGAGCGACCAATTGGTCTAGCACATCTAGAACAGTGATTCAAAAACATCGTGGAATAAATTTCCATGGGTCAACAACATAATGTACCAGTTCAGTATCAATAGAAACATGCAATCTATGAAATATTTTTCATCAGACCATCACTAATAGCATGGAAAGTTCTAACTTCGGGTTTCTCAAATTGCAATCAAAACACATTCATGATCACAAAACAAAATTCTCCTTCTGTTTGATTATTTCTCAATACTTTAATATAGACACAAATGTAAACAAGGTAATGTTCCTTACATAAATGAACTATATAGTTTATAATTTTAGCCAAATATTATTGTTCTGTATATTATTAACTGGACTGAAATGAAGTATTAAAATAGTCAATCAGACTGTATTCCCTGTAAAGCAGTAAATCCACATCAGACCGTAGAGGGGGTTGTGAATTTAACTATCAACCCCTTTTAGAACAAAGTGTCTACTGACATGGCAATCAGAACAGGTGAATACAGAGACTCTTTACAACTGCAGAGATACCATAGATAAATTAGAGAACATTATATGATACTAGCAAAGACAACTTCTGTTATAAATCAGAGGGCAAGGCTTTTCTGAATCAGATGTAATAAATTACTAAGTAATAATTTACAGAAAATAATTACTAAGTAATAAAGGATAGAGACTGATTTACTGAAATAAGCAAGTGTTACTTTTACTAGTCAGATTGCTTGTGATCTTTTTCTATTGACACAATTGGTTTCATATACGGTATACTTATTTTTATTCCCTTTCTGTGGGTGATTAAAAACTCAGTGCGGTGGATGAGAACATTGCCGAACTTCACCGGTAGTTCCAATATGTGGATGATGTGTATATACTGGATCCTAGGTATAGTAATATAATATTTCCAAGTTCTGCATATTATGCTGATATCTCTAGTATGATACAAATACATGCCCACACTTTGTGAATCTTACAGTAGAATAACAAATGTGTCCATATTGACTAAATTCAATGTGCTGATGAGAAATGGATGTTATAATCAAGTAGACTGAGTTAACACAAGAGTCATGAAAAGATCTTTTTTTTTTTTTTTAAGTTTTGGAATTATTTCCAGAAACTAATAAAGGCGGTGATTTACAGATAGTATTGAGTCTGTGAGATTGTAACATATACTGAAACAACCTCGTGGATGGTGGTGAAATCTTTTTCAGTAAAACATAGCAAAGAGTTCATTTAATTTTTGATGCTCTCAGGAGCACATTCCAAAATATCACAGATGTCAAACGGAACATGCCGTCTGAAGCAAAAATGTTAAATTCAGATAAGCTATTTATAAATAGCTGTGAATACAATCTCAGCCAATATGTGATATCGCAGAAGGTTTCAAGTCGATAATAGAGGGTCTAACCATTTCGTTACATTTCATGCACCTTCATGATACTGACTTATTGTGACCACAGGTTATAACTGGCAGAGGATATGTATCTATGTTTTAGGTTACCTGTTGCCTAAGAGGAAATCATAGCTACATCAGAAAAGTTTTATAATTATATTTTAAAAATTAGTACTTTATATAATAAAGAAAACCGCAACCAGACA